TTCTGTTATTCCTGCAGGCCTGTCTGAAGGCTGGGCTGGTGACTACTTGGGGAGTGTTTTTCTCTAACTGGAATCTGGTTTTGCCTAATTCTGACTGTTTCACTATTTATTCTGTGTGTCCCTTATGTTTGCTTTTATGTGATTTTTTTTTTCCCCCCAATATTACTTATTTCAGTTAAAAACTGACAACAAGCCCTCTCCCCATCCTTCCTATCCAGCCTTTGCCATGCTCCTCCCCAGCAGCGGACTGCCCATCTGGAAGAAAGAGAAGAAATGGCATTGCTACATAAATACTAGAATTATTTGGGTATGGTAAGTTTTTCTCCTACATTATAGGCTTTGTGCTCTGCACCACATTTTTGTTAGTGTTGTATGTAGAGCGAGCAGAAGTTAGCAGCAAGGCAAGGAAATCCTTCAGTGGATGTTGGTGCTCTGCTCTATGCTTGCACTCTGGGAGGGACCAGCTGGGATCCGTACTTGATATATAGGGACCAATAACAATATTATATATGGATTTTTATCCAGGTAGCAGCCCATCCAGCAGAGAATCCAGCAAAGAAGCATGGCCAGTGGGTGAAGGTAGGGCCCTCTCGTGAGACCCCACCTGGAGTGCTGTGTCCACTTCTGGAGCGCCCAGCACAAGAAGGACATGGAGCTGGTGAAGTGAGTCCAGAGGAGGGCCATGAAGATGATCAGAGGGCTGGAGCACCTCTGCTATGGCAACAAGCTGGGAGAGTAAGGGATTGTTCAGCCTGGAGAAGAGAAAGCGGCCTTCCAGCACCTGAAGAAAGGCCATGCATTGGTGAGGCCGCATCTGGAGTATTGTGTCCAGTTCTGGGCCCCTCAGTTCCAGAAGGACAGGGAACTGCTTGAAAGAGTCCAGCGCAGAGCTACAAAGATGATTAAGGGAGTGGAACATCTCCCTGATGAGGAAAGGCTGAGGGAGCTGGGTCTCTTTAGCTTGGAGAAAAGGAGACTGAGGGGTGACCTCATCAATGTTTGCAAATATGTAAGGGGTGAGTGTCAGGGGGACGGAGTTAGGCTTTTCTCAGTGATGACCAGTGATAGGACAAGGGGTAATGGGTGCAAATTGGAGCATAGGAGGTTCAAGGTGAATATCCGAAAAAAAATTTTTACTGTGAGAGTGACAGAGCCCTGGGACAGGCTGCCCAGGGAGGTTGTGGAGTCTCCCTCACTGGAGACATTCAAAACCCACCTGGATGTGTTCCTGTGTGATGTACTCTAGGTGACCCTGCTCTGGCAGGGGGGTTGGACTAGATGATCTTTGAGGTCCCTTCCAGCCCCTGAGATTCTATGATTCTACAGGAAAGCTGGGGAGGGACTTCTTACAGGGACACGTAGGGACAGGTTGAGGGGGAACAGTTTCAAGCTGGAAGAGGACAGATTTAGGTTTATGTCATCACTTGGAAGAAATGCCCCATCCCTGGAAGCGTTCCAGGGGCAGGCCGGACGGGGCCTGGAGCAACCTTTGGCACCTCTCGTGGGAGGTGTTCCCACCCCTTGGCCAGGACAGCTGGGACGAGATGGTCTCCTGAGGTCACCGCCAACCCAAACCATCCCACGACTCATCGATTCGCTTTTAAAACAAACAAACACACAAAAAAGACAAAAAGTCGAGGAAATGCCCACACCCCTCCTCACGCCCTCCCGCACTGTTTGCCCCATG